GCCCTCTCTCTCTAAACTCTCTCTGTAAAATTACAGCAAAAATTGTGAATGTTTTTTATTCAAAATCTACACATTTTAGGGTTAAGCCTCGGTAAAACGATTACAGAGAAAGGCTAAAGTATCTTTGCCTGGAGATCGACCAGGAAATGTGTAGGTATCCTCATTAGATTCGGTCTATGGTCTTCTCTAAATGCGCTACTGTTTGATTAGTTTTTTCGTTTACAAACAAAGAACATGTGTATTAGAGGGTGAGTAATTTTAAAAACGAACATAACACGAAAGGATGAGAGCTAATTTTACCTTGGACATGCAGTCTCGATCGTTACAGGCACTACGCGCCACCATGCGCGCCACTACCCGCATTTAACCATAATCACCGTGCACCATCACGCTACGAGACACGCACTGCCGTTTGTGCCTACATGTGCCTTCGCATGTGCTTTTAGGAACCCCCTGGATGGTGTCGTACGCACTGCCTCGTCTCCTATCTTGCTCTGAGATTCAGAACGGATTGTGCTGCAATCGTGCACGCTACCTCTCCTCTCACAGGACGAAACCGACTTGCCGCGGTGCTGATCTTCTTCTTCAACCGTGCACAGAGACGGTGTTTTCTGGCTGCACCACGCACCAAAAGCTGTGCAGATCTTGATTTGAGCTTCTGTTCTCCTCGCATCACACACCAATCAAACCTCCTCTATCTCCTATTCAAATCGGGTCACGTCTACAAAAAATCGCCGCTTCTGCAGATGGAGAATGGCACAGCATCGCGTCGATGTCACTGCAACACCCAATCGCACGATTCATCTTCCCCGCCATGCCTCCTCCTCCTCATCTTTCTTCTTCTTCTTCCAGAGGCGAGCACTTCTCTCTTTCTAAAACCTTAATTTTTTTTTTCTTTTTCTTTCATCAAAATGGCGCCCTTCTCCTCCTCCTCCTGCTTCTTCGAGAGGCAAGCACATCTCTGTTTATGAAACACTTTTTTTTTTTTTTTTTTTTTTTTCTTCTTCTTTCATCAAAACAGCGTCGTTTTGGTCCTTTTCAACTTCTGATGCCCAGCTTCAAAATGACGTCGTGTTGAAGCTGATGGACTGGCTCCTGTTTCTCTGGGCCTGGGTGTTGTAGTGGATGAATGGCTAATATAAAGCCATGCTAAAGGAGGGGGGGGAAGGCGTGATCGGGACATAGTTCTTGTGTGATTGAAATAAAAAATTGTTAGGAGTAACGTGTCTGGCTATGTAAACTTGACTAGATTCTTTGTCCAAAATGATTAGTTGAAGGACCCAAATAAACGCATGGTTGACTTTTGAAAGAAAGCTTGAGCTAATTGTAGGGTCTTAGTAGTTGAACCAAAAATATGTAAATTGTTTGTAAAAGAGTTTGCTGATACCATTCAAAATTTCAGTGGGCAATAAATGATTAGCATATATGGCTATTTGAAATGCATAAGGCCAAAACCGAAAAAGAAACGCCACTTTGAGCTAAAAATGTGAGACTTGTTAACTACAATATTAATTTTTCTTTCAACAACTCCTTTATGCTCATGTGTGCGAGGCGATGGAAAATGGTATGTCTAGGCAAATAATAGTGTAATTTTTGCGTATCCACCGCCCTAATAGCACTAAAAGATCTTTGATTTTTTTAATTAAACTGATTTTCAAGTAAAGATTTGAAATCAAGAAAACAATCATAGACATCATTTTCATTTTTAAGAAATGATGAAAACTGAGATTTTATGTTCTGATTTTCAGGTTGGGCTGGGCTGTTTGATGTAGTATACTAGGTTTTTAAGCAAATTTGAATTAGTTGAATATAATTTGTTATATTAATTTTATTTTTTTTTTGTTATCTCATCAACAGAATTGAAATATCACACGTATCAATTATTATCTTTGATTATAATTTTCATATCTGTTTTGATTTAAATTTTTATCACAGGTGGGATGATAAGAAACACTAAAATTGAAAAATATATTTTTATTTATCAAGAAACACCATAAAAGACATGTAATTATTTAATTAATTTCTTTTTATGTTAAATTGCTGTCTAATTTTCGTAATTATTCTCTCTATTTCAATGAGAAGATGCTTCAACCAGTCGCCCATGAAGATGTTGGATTGGTCTTGCATTTTCCCGAGATTCCTGTTAATGAAATGATTCATTAATCTTGAAAGTTTCATATTCATATGCAATAAAACCTAAAAGACAAACATAGTGATAAGACCAAGGAAACTTTTATACTTACATCACTAAGAGCTTCCTTCAATGCTTGAACTTGCTCCGCTGAAAGTGTCTTGGGCTGCATAAGAAAATTGGGGAACAGAAAAACTTCAAAGAAGATATACACACACACACAAATATATGTAAGAATTAATTAATTAATTACATGAGCGAAAATGGTCCAAACAACACCCTCAGTGCATGGAGGAATTGTGAGCGATCCAATGTATCTGTAATATTTCCCTGACCAAAATCCTATTGTTCCTGGATCAACAATCCCCAATTTTTTCTCTTCATTTGGATGAAGTGACTTTATGTGATTGAACAGCTGTAGAAAAAATAAATCTCATTAGATTCCACCAATTTTCTCACTTCCCAAACAACCTCTCAGATGTGTATATACGAACAAATAGAACATCATTAATTAAAATACCTTCGAAATGAATGGATCGGGTGAGCCGATTTTGAAAAGCACCGAGATGACTGCTCTCACTCCTTTAGAGTCTTGGTGAAGTATGTGAAGTTCTTCGTCGAATCTGATTTTTTTTTTTTTTTTTTTTAAGAAAAAGAAAATTTGTTATTACGAGTTTAATAGATTTTTTTTTTGAAAAAAAGTTAAATTTTGAAAGAGTATGAATATACGTAATCCCATTGATTTTATGCTCTGAAGGCGAATGCCAGTGACACTGAAGCAGTTTATAATCAACCCCATTTATCTTAATTTTTCCAGCATTTTGTCCTTCCCATGAGACCTGAAAAATTAAAAGCAAATAAAATTTCAGATCAACAAACCCAAATTATTGATAATGACGTACTCAAATCCTTATATATATATATATATATATACACACACACACATATACTATAGAGAAAATCATAATGATACCATAATATCATGTCCTCTGTCCTTTAAAATGGCTGGTGCTGGTTTATAATCTCTTTCAATATGACCTAAATTATGTGAAATTTTCACAGCAGAATCAATAATGTCAATAGGGGATTGGGCTTTTCCAGTTTCACAAGTTGCCCATTGTGGATTAATTTTGCCCCAGTTCTTTGGTCCTCTTCCTGTTTCCTCTCGATAAGAAAACTCTTCGTCGGCTCCGTTTGAAAGAAAAAAAGAAGAAGAAAAAATAAGTGAAGCAATAAAAAACAAGAGAAAGCTTGAATGATTTTTCATGGTTGCTTTTCTCTCTTGTTTGAGTTAAAGAGATGCATGTGACATATTTATAGATATATAACTACAAATCAGAAGAAAGGAAATATTTTTTGATTTGAATTTATTTCTTTTGAATCTTTTTTTTTTTTTTAAAAAAAAGGAAAAAGACTCCGAAAATATATAAATTATGATAAATACATACATATTTAGAGTAAAGAAATTAGGTAAGTCGATCATTAAAAGTAAGATTTTTATTGGAAATCAAAAGTTTCTTTTTCTCAATAACCAGGAAACTTACAAATTTAATGGTAGGAACAAAATATTTGATTTTTTTTTTTTTTCTTTCTTACTTTGGAACAGCTCTCTCTCATCCTTGATGCATCTCCGTGTATTAATCATTTACCATAATAATTTTTGTAATGAATTTATCATTTTTGAACAAAAATCAAAAGAAAAAATAAGAATAGCAGATCACAAAATCAATCAAAAATAAAATGACTTAAAAAAGAAACAAACAAATATATATATATATATATATATATATATATATCTCCCTCTCTTAAGTGTATTACCAAGAGTTTAATCAGCAACAAAATTATGTAATATTGAACTTCAATCATCCCCTACAAAATAAAATACACCTCTGAGTAGTATTGATAAAAAGGGGTCGACACTCCAACATTAATCCTATACGTACCAACCTCGTCCATTAAATAATTAACATTTGGTATAATGACGTTTAATAAATAATAAATTAAAATTTATAAGTTGACGGAATTCATGAGTTAGCAGTGAGAGTAAATAAAAAGTGTGTTGGGTTTGTATGTTTTTTTTTTTTTTTTTCATTTATAAACTCTAAATACATTAAAAAAATACATTTGTGAATTTAAAAATAATAAAATTATTTTTATTATTTCTAAGTTGTTCAGCTCATAGTATCACGTAGCTCCCCACTCCTGTAAATAGGGAATAGGAGAAGGGAAGAATAGACATTCCAGATAAAAGAAAAATAGTGAAAAATATAGAGGTGAAGGAAGAAGAGAGAGTACGAAGTGTGTGATATTTGAGAATATTTTGATGTTTTAAATAAAAATCTTGAAAAACTTTTCTAAATTTGTGAGAGTAAAGAAAGAGGAAGAGAAGAACAATGAGGATTACGATAAAAAAGAAGTTATAAACTATTAAAAATGTAAGCTTTTTATTAAGTTTTAAAGTTCAATTTCTCTTTGATTTTTTAGATTAGTTTTTTAGTATTGTATTAGATATTTTTGAGTCAAAAAAGTGACCAAAAATCATTCTGAAACTCTGCCAAATTTTTTAGAGAAAAAGTTATAAATAAAGTCGAAACTCTACCAGAATTAAGACGACGACTGCTAAGGGTCTAAGTTAAGTGGATATTTTTGATTCATAACCTACGTAGTTTTGAAGTATTTTGCGTATTTTCAATATAAAAATGTGCACGTGTTTTATTTATTTTCTGTATTTGGTAAGTAAGTACTTGTTAAAGTTTTACTTCGATATAAATATTATTTCGTTTTGTATTTTTGAAATGTAATTTTGATATGTGTGCATCACTCATTGCGGAAAGAAGTTATTTCGAAAGTATCTGTATTATGTTAGGCTTCAATCTGGCCGTATATAACTGTTCCGTGTTCGGATATATTGGCGAAGTAATAAGTGTGTACCCATATATAACCGTTCTGTGTTGGGATGTATGGGAAAATTGTCTGATCTGTATGCCCTAACCGTTCCGTATTTGGGAGAAGGAGTAGCAGTATTTCAAGGTATTCATGTATGCCGTTCCCTGTTCGGGTACATAGAAAACCAGTGATAAGTATCTGTGCCTACACATAATGTATGATAACTTATTGATTCTTTCTAATAGTGATGAAGTATACAACATGAATTTGTTTTCTGATTTGTACATTCGTCTTCTTATTCGTATCTATTTTAGAAAGATTATATGATATATGCTTTATTGTCTGTAAAGAAACTATATATTACATGTACTATGCTGTGATTTCATAATATTGATATTGAAATATTTTATCTCACTATCACCTTATAAATACTGAAGATACCACTGTAGAGTGAGCGATGATACATAAGAAATTTTTAAAGTCTAGACTCTGATATTAAGGTTACTGTTTCGTACTTTTGTTTAGTAATGTAAATAAAAAAATTTAGAGACTCGCACATATATTTATATTTTATATTTAAAGGATGTAACGCTTCTGCGACTCTTTTATTATTAATAAAGTTAAGTTACTTTACTTTACTCAAGTTTATATGATTTAAGGAAGTATACTCCGGTCATTACCTTATAAGACAGAATGTGATCATTATAATAATTTTAAATTGGCTCTTTTGGCTTATATGATTTTTTTATAATTTCAAAGTGGATAGAATTTTAAGATCGTTAAAGTATTATTTTAAAATAATTAAATAATGTGTTTGATATTATTTAGATTATAAGTTTCACATAAATCATCCACATTTGATACAAATATACTTATAGTTACAAATTAACAGAATTACTCAAAAATTATATATAAATACACTTAATAATGTTTAAAAATATTATTGTATAGCTGATATCTGAAATTAAAGTAGCTTACGACTATTTGATCCCAGTAAAATGTAAGTCAACCCAATATGGTATATATGAACAGGTCAATTGCTATCATTGGCAAACTACTGCTTAAT